AATGATTCAGGGTGCTAGGGAAATATTTTTTTTCATACCTTGTGGGTGTTAGGGTTTAGTCCTAGAACTGAGAACTGAGGTTGGACTCAAGATTGCTGACCCAGGTGCTAGTAAAAAAAAACTGGTGGTTTATTGGTGGGGTTACAAAAAGGAGCAAAGTCAAGGAACACATACAACCAGAGCTGAACAAATACGGCTAAGGAGAACAGGACGACCAGGGGAGAAGACAGGCTAACGGCAAAAAGCAGGAGAGTGAGGATGAAGACGGACAGGTGAAAAAACAAATGAACCAGGAGGACTGGCGAACAAAAAAGAAATCCACAGCACAGGAACTGTCAGCGTGGATATCAAAAATTTACATCTAGTTAACCTAATGGACAAAAAAACATACAAAGGAATCCACAGCACAGGAACTGTCAGCGTGGATGTCTAAAGACGAATAACACAAAACATTTAACCTATATACACATTGAGATCCACAGCACAGGAACTGTCAGCGTGGAAATCAAACGACATGCCACATACCACAACTATAGGTCAGTTACGGGTTATGAAATTAATGCTAGTTATATTAGGTAATGTTCCGGGAGAAGACGGAGCGTCTGTCAGAGGTATAAATAAGGAGGAAAGATAATCATCGGGATGCACCCCAGCTGTGCGCACCGACAAACAAGTCGCTAATTACTGAAAGCAACACAGCTGAGGTGCAGATTCCGCAGGATCGAGAGAGCAGAGGAGAGAAAGGTGGAAGAGAGGAAGGTCGCGCTGAGTAGACCTGACAGTGGGTGGTTTTCTGCACAACGGCTGTTGAACGCTGTCGCACGTGTATTCCATAGCAACAAGTGCTACTGGGAGAATTTGGTGTGAAACAGTGTGCCTTGGGCAGAGTTGTCTTTGGTTCCGGGAGCTGGGCATAGCCTATGGGGAAACTGTATTAGGGTGACGGCGTATTCAGTGGAATTAAAACAGAGCTGTTGATTGGGAGCACCCCCAGCAATCACACGCATCAGAAGCTAGTTCTGGTGTAGAAGCTCCGTGATCGGATCGATAATTCTGGGCACAGGCCATTTCAGTTGAAATGTCAGTCGTGTGTGCATATTTTTCAATATGTCTGCAAATGTTGTTCAAGAGTGGAAAATGTGTAAACCTGACTCTTTGGGGTCAGTATTCTATAAGGTTTTGTTTAAATGGTTAAATACAGTTGCTAAAGATGAGCAGGACACTGCAAGAGATCGGTTTATTGCTTGGGTTCTACAGATGTAACCTAAAAGGATGTTTGGGGACAGTGACAGTCCTCCCCCACAAGGGGGTGCTATAGGACTATTTTTGAAGTGAGCCTCGCTTTCTACTGAGAAGAAAGCTAGACTGCAAACTCAGTAACTGTGATTTTTTTTATAAGAAATAAAAGTTGAAACAAGATTTGAAGCAAGATGAAAGTTTTTTTACTGGTTGTACATGTTTTTCTTTAGGAAATTTCAAGTGTTTTCAGTGTCCTTCAGCCAGTTCATGCAAGTCAAATGCCAGTTGAAGTTGTTTCTCCGAGTGGCACAGTAGCTCCAGTGCAAGCTGCACATTCTAGCTCTGATCACACAGCCGTCTTCCTCACAATCTATTACAGTATAGTGAGCAGAGATGGGGTGGGGAAGCTCCTTCTAAAATCCACTATCATTTCCACTGTTTTCAACATGTTCAGCTCCAGGTTGTTACGACCACACAACTGTGCCTGTGCTGAAAGTCCGGGTGCTGGATATGATTTTCCCCAACCTCACCTGCTGTCTCCTGTCTGTCAGAAAGTTGGTGATCCATTGACAGGTAGGGGCAGGAACAGTGAGCTGGATTAGGTTGGAGTAGGGGATGCCCAGGATGATGGTGTTGAAAAGACAGTTCCATGGTGACATTGTGTCCTTCAGGCTGCACCACTAGCCTTCCTTAGTTATTTTTTCTATTAGAAGTCTTTTCACACAACACACAACAGAATACGACTCCAGGGCCATACTTACATACTTCAGTACTCAAGTACTTACAAATTCTTCCAACTTCCTTTATGAGTGTTGTTGTCCATGAACTCCATGTACTCTTGGTAAAAGCCTGGTTCCTTAAAAAACTTTTTCTTTAATCCAAGTGTTAGAATCTAACCTCTTTGTCAGAAATTAACCCAATTCTTTTGTTGGAAGCACGAGAAGTGATGACAGGAGAGGACTGTTTAAAATCAGCAGAAAGTTTACTGAATGTCTGATCACAGGTAGGCCTTACAGTGCTGGGATCAGAGAGATAAAGCTCCCGCAGGAGTTCCATCCACTGACCTCGAATTAAGGTCTTACAATACATTTTATTTTCTTGGGCTGCTCCGCCCTAAACAAAGGTACAACAATTCATGCATTGTAATCCTATTGGTCATTTGGTGTGAGCAGGAGCTCACACCTCCTTGCTGGAAGGTGATCTACACTAGGTGTGTGTGTGTGTGTGTGTGTGTGTGTGTGTGTGCGCGCGTGTGTGTCTCTCAGGTGGTGAGCCCCCGGCCTCTGCAGGGCATCCCAAGACAAAGCAAAGCTTGGAATATGCTAAGTGGGTCAAGGTGTGATTGTAAAACAGGCCTTTGCTAAAATGTAAATAGGCTGTCTGGTCTCAAAGAGATGCAGACATCTAGTCTCTACACAGAAGTTACAGCATTCAAAGTGGGCAGATTCTACTTGATTCTCATCAATACAATTGAAAGATGTATAAGCAAGGAATATAAATGTATTAAGAATAGCCAAAGCTCAGTAGTTCTGGACAATCATAAATACAGCTGTAATATGCATAAACAAGATAAAGGTATGAAAGGTAACTAAAGGGAACTAAAGGTGTTAGAAGTAACTAAAGCTGATAAAGTAACTAGAGTCTATAAGACTCAATTCTTACACAAGGATCCTTGGTTTAACTGCTACCAAACTGCTGGCCAGCCAAACCTCCTCAAATTTGAATGGCAACTTCAAGCAGTGCTTTTCATCCTTAAATGTTGCTGACTGTGCCAAAATTTCCCTGAATTTCACATCTTTTCTAGACAATTTTTGTTTCTTTTCTTGTTGAAATGATGGTTATACTGGTTAATCAACATTTCTTTCAGTTTGAGCACTGATATTCTCTTTACTACAGCAGAAGTTATTCCCTTCTTCATGTTGTCATTGTTTCCACTCAGCAGGCTTTATATCAGTAGTCCATCCCAACACTGTTTTAATCGCATACAAACCATCTCCACAGCTGTTGATCATTTCCCATGGTTCCAATATTTTTGATCTAATCAATGATGCCACATTTTACCTAATGTGTACAAGCAGAAGCTTTGACAAATATGACAACTTAGCCAAGTCTTTGGAAGTTGCTGTTATCTAATTGCTATTTTATGCTGAGTCAGAACTTCTGAGAGATGATAAAAGTTGTTACCATCCAGCTTTGATATCTTCAAGCCTGTTGAAACAGGATGTGAGACAGGATGGTCGTTATTTTCCAGTACTAGAGGGCTGCTGCCCTGCTTGTTTTCCAACTATCCCTACCCTACCCAGTGCTGATTACCTGGATCACATGTGTTCAGTCAGTCAGAAGCTGGAAGATAACAATTTACTTTCTTTCCTCACTGCACCTTCTTTGAAGATGGTATCTTCCACCTGTCCTGTCCCTGTCAGCCTGGTTGTCTCTTGTATTGATATATCTACAATCAGAGAAAATGTAGAAAGAAATTCTTGATAAAATGATATAGTGCTATGTTATGTATTTGTAAAACTGTTTAAAAGATTGTTTAATCTGCTTGACCTTTGTAATGACTTGACCTGTGCACTTGAAATGCTGTGTGAGTAGGTGATAAAGTGCAGAGACTCAGAACAACAGGAAGTGCACAGATGCAGACTGAGATGATTGGACTGTCTGTAAGAAGAGATGTGAGTGGGTATAAGGTCTTATTGTTTTGGCTTTAGATTATCAACATTTATCAACATTATATGAAATGCTTGGCCTTCTATGATTGGCATTATAATCTGCATTAGCAAATATATCTATGTTTATTTTAGTATCATATGCTTTATAATTGCCTTTCAGTTAACCATTTCACTTGTCTTTAAGAATATAGGAGACTTGGAGTTGACAATAACAGAACATGCGTAGAAATAGACAGGAAACCACAAACAGGAACAAGGCCAGGTTGCATAGCAACGCTCCCGGTCACAAGGGTAGATGAGACGTGGCTAAGCTCAACTTATCATGATTCTGTCTCGTAGTAAGAGGTGCTGTCCCAAAAACTGTCTATGTGCTTAGGGCATTGAAAGGTCAGGATGTTTTTCTTAGAATTTCACAGATCAAAATCTGCCTGGCGACAAGATCACCAAATGAGGGGTCAGAACGAGGTCAACAAACCAACCAAGGAACGAGGATGAAGGACAACACGGATGATGTCAGATCTACTGTCATTTGCATATTCAAAAAATTGTATAACTTGACTGGGTTGAGGAGTCAAGCGTTCCCCTTGCTCTGAAGGCAAGTCAAACGGTTCTGCTGTTTAGAATCAGGGCCTCAGATAGAGATGGAACCCAGAGCTCTGTTTTGCTTTTCTTGAATATTGTAATAAATATCTTAAAGGACAGATTTGTCTTTGAGCATTCTTCATAAAAGAACATGCAGGACTGGATGAGTCCAAAAATTAACACATGTGAAAGAAACACAGAGTGAGTTAGTGAAGGGCTGGACTTGCATCATCTCCCTTTGAGCCCAATCTGTGTGTGTGGCTGCTCTCAGCAAAACAGGATGAGAGTCCAGTAGATGCCTCAGTTTGGGTTACACTGGGAAAGCTATCAGTGAATAACTGTGGCAGTTTATTTGACTTGAGAAATGTGATGCTGGTTGTGCAATTTAGTACATGTGACATTTTCTATTTCATTTCTGTAAATTCTTCATATGTTTTGAATGATATGAAATGCATTAGCTATACAAACTAGTGTGCCCCAAAAAATCAGCGCTGCTGCTGTGTAGACATGAAGACCAACAACAGCCTGACTCCCTCCTATTTTCAGTTCACTGTGTTTGCAGACTATGGGCCCCTCAGATATCTTTTATTCAGCCTGTCTCTTTTGATCTACATCACTATAATCTCTGCTAATGTTGCCATTGTTCTGTCAGTCTGCCTGGAGACCTCTCTGCATCAGCCCATGTATATTTTCATCTGCTCTCTGTGTTTAAACTCTTTGTATGGCTCGACCGGCTTCTTCCCCAGGTTTCTGATGGACCTTCTGTCTGACACTCATTTCATTTCATTTCCATTCTGTTTTCTACAGGTGTACATTACTAACACTTATCTTGGGCATGAGTTGACTCTGCTCACTATCATGGCCTATGATAGGTTTGTTGCTGTTTGCCAGCCTTTACACTATCATAGTAAAATGACATTTCGGACAGTCCTGCTGCTTTTGATTTTTGCTGTGCTGTACCCTCTGTGTGTTTTAGGCTTCTTTGTCTATCATGTCAGCAGTTTGCCTTTGTGTGAAAATCAACTGCCCAGGATTTTTTGCACGATCTGGGTTATAATTAAGCTCCCATGTGTGGACACAACTGTCATCAGCATAGCAAGTCAGATTATTGCTGTGATATCAGTCTTTATCCCCCTGTTCTTTGTCCTGTACACCTACCTGCACATTCTGCTTGTCTGCAGGAGAGGTTCATCTGAATTCAGAGGAAAGGCCTTACAGACCTGCCTGCCCCACATAGTGACTTTTGGAAACTTTTGCATCTCTCTGTTCTGTGAGTTTTCAATGACTATGTATAATGTTGAGGAAGTAAATACATTTTCTATTGCTTTATCTCTGGAGTTTCTGATCATTCCTCCCATCATGAATCCTCTAGTTTACGGCCTGAATCTGCCTCAGATCAAAGGAGTGATTTTTGGATTTTTAAGGGCAGAAAAAATGGTTCGTTCTACATAATTAAAAAACTGGACAAGCACAAAGATAAGTTAATAAGGTCTTATTTTTCCTTTCTCCTTTATTTCTCCTTCCAGATTACTTTAGTTTATCTCTACAGTTGTTTTGTTTGTTCACATTTGCTATAAACAAATCAAAATCAATTTGAATAAAACAGATGCTGCATTAAAATAATTACCCCGCACCACATAATTATTTTTAATCTTCTAGTGTTTTACATGCATGGTCCAAGTCACAGTTGATCAGATTAAAACATCTTAAATACTCATACTCATGCAGTACAGCTTGATTTCCACAGTACAGTATGTGATCGCTGCTTCCATGTGTGACCATGTCATATGTTCAGTGTAATACCACATTTTAAAACCTTTTGTGGAGAAATAAAGCAGATTATGTGCTGCTTTTTGGCTGTTTAACAACAGTAGAAATTTTGCATTAATTGGTATTTTCTTCTGGAACAAATTAAAGTTTGAATTTTGGAGAGATTATGTTTATCAGGTGGGTATCTTAAAAGATGATAAAGATACTTCTTGTGTTCCTCATATATACATTTTTAACATTACTTTCATTTCAAGCTCCATTTAGATAATTTTATGTTAACATTTTAACAGAGGCAGAAGTTTAAAAGTTCATATGTGCAGTTTAAATCAACAGTAAACTGGACCTTGAATGACTGAACAAACTGTAGGCTGGTGATTAGCTGTTTCTGTGGTTTCACATGTGTCAGTCCATAGTTCTGGATTACAGCTTGTTCACTGTGTGGTTAAGTTGCAGCTCTCTACTGACAACTTGGTTCCCAGCAGCAGGAGCAGCAGCAGATGTTTTTACCAAACACTGACAGGGCCTCAGGACTGAGGACTCACACAGATCCTTTAAGGCTCTTCGTTACTTTAGATTGTGCTTTGGTGACAAAACCACAAAACAATTGTTAAGTTAGTTCATTTACCAACAACGTCGCCCAAATCGTAATCCTTGTCAGCAGTAGTTTGCTGTTGACCAAAGCACAACATTAAAATGCCACTTGCACCTTAGTGCACCAGCAAGAAATAATCCAGCAATTTAATGTATAAATGTATCTCATTTTGCTTCGTAATGAGCACCTTAACTTCTGATACTTTGAGTACATTTTGCTGATAATATTTATGTATTAATTGAACTCTGAAAAATCTAATGCATGAAAGGTGACTAACACAGTCAAATAAATACAACACTTTTATGTGATCAGTATTTACTGTTCTCAAATTTGATCATTTGTCCTTATTACAAACATAAGTCTGGCCTTAGATAAGGCAGAGCTGCAGTATTTTATTTAAAATTTTACACATATTTTGCATATTTCCTAATTGTGTTTAAAACTTACCACAGACTAACTGGAACAACCTGTATGGGACCTGTATTATGACTATTACAATATTCAAGGTTAACATTACTTAGCTACTACAGTATATGACCCATTTGGATTGAAAGCATCAATCAATCAATCAATCAATCTGTCAGGTTTTGCTCGGTTGCACCTGCCTCTCTCACCTCCCTCTCTTCGTTTTTGGTTACTGATTATGCCACCTTGCACACCTGCCACACATTTCTTAATCAACACCATCTGCATTCACTTAGTCCTTCACCCTACTTAAGCCAAGCTCACTTACCTTTCCCTTGCCAGTTCGTCGATACTCTCAGGCCGACAGCCAACACCACTCTTCTTCTCAGTGTGTTTTTTTGATATACAGATTTTGTTTTCCTCGCGTCTACTCTGTTACTCCTCTCTACTATCCCCATGGACAGCTACCTCCAGACCATTATGCCTCACCACCCTTCCAGCCTCCACCAGCCAGGTCGGTACACAGCTGTCAGTAATGATGGCCATACGAGGCCCCATGAAGCTTTGAAGCTTTTTGAACCATTGTATTGAAAATTGCTTCACTACTCAAAGCTTCATTCACTGAGCACGTGGGTGACATCTGCTGGCACAGTGGTTGTGCTACAGCCTTGCAAAGGTGACACTGAAGCACCTTGCGAGTGCACTGAGTTTTGTTGTAATGTGGAAATTACCTAAATAAAACTGAAATCTAACTTCATTTTACATGTTTTTTTCTTCCTTGCCTTATAAAGTATCTGAAATGAAATGTTACCTAAGTAATCCTCCTTCCACAAGAACTCTTAAGAATATGAAATGGATTTATAATTATTCATCCAAATTACACACTGGACAGAGCAAATATTTACGGGGTTCTGTAAGATTTGAGTCTTATAGACTCTAGTTACTTTATAAGCTTTAGTTACTTATCATACCTTTAGTTACCTTTACTTCCCTTTCATAATGTCGGAAGTCCGCCACTTCCTCATCGGGTTTCAGATGATGGAGAGAATATTCAGTCACAAAACACCACAAAATACCAAAGTGCACTTAATTATAATTACCTTTTATTCACAGATGCGCATCTGGAGATCACAGCAGCAGCCAAAATGATCTGATCTGATCTTTCTAACATTGTGTATTATATACTATTCTTCCCGC